TAGACAAAGGGGTGAAAGAAAGATCTACACCACCATTCGTGTGGTCTTTTTTTGTAGCAGTACGACGGCGCCTTTGCTGCTTCAGGGAAAGATAGTAGGCGAACAGATCATCAGAAACCTGTCCCAGCTTGCGCGCAGTCAAAAAACCACCCACATAGTGAGCCCGAAGGTATTTCAGAATGGATCGCAGTTCTTCATAAGATGCTCCACTTTTAGAACAGGCTTCACTGATATCATTTCGGTTGTTGTGTGCAACGAAATACCAGCGATGTAGCAGTGCGCAGCAAATCCGGTAATATTCCAGAGAGATCTCCTCACTTGTCGTCATTGGAGGAGTCAGGCGTGCAAGGCAATTCAAGATGAACTCTGATGAGCTCTGCGAGAGATGTAAGGGTAGATGTTTATGTAAGATCATAAAAAAGCAGATGCCCTGGATCGTGGGCGATTGACTATAAATATGCGCTTATATGACTTTTGCCTCGAATGAGCCAAGGTCGTGTATTAAGAAACACATAAATCTCCCGACACTCATGACCTCGCTCCTTGCATACATGAATAGACGGACATATGCGTGCACGTTAAGGGCAGATATGCTCGCAAATATAACAGGACATAATATACAGCTCACTGCAAGCTATGGGGGAATCCGAAGGAAGGGGGAAGTCACATATCTCTTGGCAAACATACTTTTGGGTGCCATGTACAGGACGGCTTATGTAGACAAAATGTGGGCAGTCAAGACGTGATCCCCCAATCCACGACGCGAATAATCTGATCAAAACAGAACATGAGGATGAGACATGTCTTCAATTGTCGGATCCCCCAAAAACTTTGAGGAAAGCAAAATTCCAGCAGATGGGGCGGCATCCCCTGTTCGGACTTTATCCTGGTCATACGATAGCGCCGCCATTATCTGTGTGATCATGCCGGTATGTCTCACGGCGATTATGCGACACTCAATTGACCAAGTGTGTCTTTTCCCTGCTGTCGCACAGCATAGTGTCATAATTTACACATGATCCTGTCCACCAGCTTTGAGTTTGCGCGCGTCAGCTCACTTGAATCTTTCAACGTGGTGTTCTCCTACACCTCACCAACGTTATTTTATTCGTTCCCTCTCTCGGACTTTTGTGCCGCCACCTCCCGTCACGGCCTTGCCCTTCCGAACCATGTCAGGTGGTCGACTTCGAAAAGTTTGTGACTCAAAACTTAAAATATGGAATCTTCATAGAGCTTGATGTAGATTGAAGAAAGTTATGGCGAAGATCAAAGCGTTCTCATGATGCGGCACACTATTATTTAATTGCTTGAACCCAACAGACAGCTTCACAACAAGCGTCTCACCCGCCTGTCGGTTATCTTGATCGGCAAGGAAACTCGTCTCTTGCTTATGTAGACAAATCGATGCCTTATCTTTCCGTAGGCGGATGATATTCTCGGGCATGATTGACATTTCAAGGCGAGATCTCCGCTAGTCTGGATCGAAGTGCAAATGCAGGTTCCCCACCCCGATCTAGCGGACGCACGATGGTCGGTTGCACTTACAATTTGCTTCATCGCATATGTTATGAGCTGCCATTAAAATAATGACGAATTTCTTTCAAGCACGCGACAAACTTATAAGTTGATGTGTTAGAACTATATATTGAACGAGATTCATGATCCTAATCTCATGCGCAATGAAAAGATCATGATGAGAATTTCCAATGCAAATATAAAAAAGTCTTTTTAAGAAGAATTGTTGCTGTCTCTTTTCAAGGATAGTCAAGCCCCGATGGCAACAAAGTAAATCGGAAACGGCCGCAAATAATGGTCAACCCAGACATTGTCGGAACAGAGCTGAGGTTGCAAGGACTTTTTCCTCTTTGTTTAAACCTGGCTTTTCCCCTCTTCCTATATGGTTGTATTCAATAGCATTAACTCTTCGCTTTGGTCGGACAACATGCCCGCCAACCTTTGTCAGTGCACTAAGACAATTTTACTTTTGTTATGCACAGACCAAGATTTCGGGTCTCAATTTCTTTTTCCTCAGCATTAATTATTCAATGATATCTGTGAAATGCATCCATGACTTTTGTTTATGTTGTTTGCATCAATTGACTGCGCGTCCGCAACGCCTAGATCCCTCACTGGTCAGAGAAAGACAATCCAAAAAAAGGTCCCATCAGTCCTTTCGACACCTTTATCATTTCTTTTGACGGACACATCCGACAAAAATAACAATAGGAAAATCTTGTCACAGATAGAGAAGACCGATCAATACCGGGCGACAACGCGCACGGACATAGCCGCAAGCACCGTATAAGATATAAGAGAGAATGTGTACAAACATGTCGAAACATGTATGTACACATACTGGGACACACATCTACCTCTCTATAAATGGATATACATGTATATATTTTTATAGATATATTCATGAATAGATAAGCACGCGCGTAAAAATTGCGACGGGTTTGGTAGCATGTACCTTTGAATCTCTATTCAGACGTACGTACTTCGTCAAATTTGCTATGAGTAGATGTGCGTGAGTGCGTGATCTGACAGGTCGACAGCATGTCAAAGATGACATCCCCAAAGTTTCTAAAAAATACCCTACATCCTGTTAACATCCTTCCTCCGTTTCTCTTCTTGAACTTGCGGGATTTTATGGTAAAGCAGGTGACAGTAGAATGCGGCAGCATCCTCAGGTTTGACGATTAGTAAGAGACAGTCGCAGCAGGGGCAGCTCCGCTCATGTCGCGCACCATGCTGCCTACAATGTGTTGGGCCGTGCGGTCTGTACCCTCTCTTCGCGAGTGGTGTTCCTGCCCTTGCCCCCTGTTGCTGCCGACGGTCTTGCACGTGCCTATTTTCGTACCAGAGAGGACCGTAGGGGTGTCCGCAGGGCCGACCACGTCGACAACTGCGTGCCCTGACATGGCCGGCAAAGAATGCGTGCTCATGGTGGAGGAGTAGGACGCATGCAGCAAGTCTGCTTGACTGCTGCTGTTCTGCTGATGCGGTTGTGGGCAGTAGGCGGGCTGTTCTTCTGAGGTTTTACGCTCATGCTTCTGGGGAGGGTACTGATTATAGTAGGCTACAGACTGCTGAGGCTGCTGATTATAAGGGGTACTCAAGTTGTGGAAGTAGTGGTGCGGATGGTAGTATTGAGGATGGGAGGCATGCCCTTGAAAAGTCACAGGGGGGTAGGGCAGGCGAGGAGGCATGTTGGCCAGCTGCGGGGGTAGGGGGTGGCCCGGGTAGATACTGCTTGTCTTGGCTGGCTGTGTATGGAAAGATGCGGAGACGCGACCTTCCAAAGCTTTCCCGCCCAGGGCGGATTGCAACGAGGAGGAGGATGGGGGCACTTTGGTCAAGCTGGTTTCCCCCGAGCTGCCGACGCTGTTGTTGCAGCTGGTGCGTTCGCTGGGCGTCGCTTCTTGCTTGGACTGCGTCTCCAGCAAAGATTTCGCGGAATTTGTGCCCGCCGTCGTGGATGGAGAAGTTTTGGCGTGTGAGAATGTGACGGGGTGTGCCTTCAGGCCGAGTAGGAGGAGCCCGTGATCATCCAGAGCAGGGCTAATGGCCCGACTTTTTGCGACGGGGTTACCATCGGTTTTCCCGGAGGCTTCTTCGACGGCCGTCACCAAATCGAAAAGCGAACTTTGCCGTTCATGCTGCCCAGTGGGTGCCAACATAACCACAACCGCATCCTCATCCTCCAATTCTTCCCCTGCTTTCCCCTCCATCCGGCACCGTGTGGAGCCCCCGACATCTATTCTCTCGAACTCTGCTTGGTTCCTTCCTGCTTTCTCTTGGTACGCCTGCAGGTTGTCGTAATCATTTCCTTCCGGCCCGACGTAGCCGACCATCTCACTGCTCCCGTGCCGGTAGCGTTTGGCGAGCGGTTGGCTTTTGCTTGCTTTCCGAGAGCGACTCGAAGAGGTGGATGAGGCCGAGGAGGACGAGGAAGAGCGGCTGTGCGTGCTGGCCAGAGGGGCCTCATAGGGTGCTGTGGCTTTGCGGGCCCGGGCTGAAGGCATCCTCAAACGCCCTGTGCCACCCACAGGAGCATTTCCGTCATTGCTGCTTTGGCTGTCGCTCTCGACCATCAAATCTCCGGCTCCAGTGACCATGTCTGAGGAGGCAGGCTGCGACGGTTGCTGGGCACGGATGTTGCTCGACGGCAGTTTCACCCCGTTTCCAGTCCCACCCGCTGCGGTCGGAGGCCGTCCCCGAGGCCGCTTGGTAGAAGTGTAGTAGCCGTAGAAATCGTCGATAAATCGACCTTGCTTCTGGGCATTGTTGAAACCAGCCATGTACTTGGCACGGAGGTGCTTGAGAATGGAGCGCAATTCGTCGTAGGATGCACCGCTCTCGATACAGGCATCATTCATATCCTCCCGGTTGTTTTGAGTGGAGTACCGCCATCGTTGGAGAAGCATGCAACACACTTCATAGTATCGGAGAGAAAGTTCTTCTGAAGCAGTCATTCTATGAGCTTTGTACGGGTATTTCAGATGGTTCCTGTGAATGTGCCGCGGGTGAAGAGAATGTGAGAAGTTGTTGACACATCGGGGCATGGACCCCGAAGAAATCAGCCACTCTTGTCAGAGGTTTGGCTTCACGGGGACCGCATGGTATGGTAGCATATTGTATGCAAAAGCTAGGGAGGAAGACAGTCGCTGGTAGGAGGGGTGGTTACACATATTATATGGGCCGATGCTGCATGGCGGCTTTTCACTTGCTCCCTGTGCCAACATTATAACAAAAATCGGCATCTAATGGCCCAACATAATTTTTCTCCTTACGTGATCGACACTGCTACAAAATGCGCAAAATATAAGGTATTTTATCCTCGAGATCGCACCCACAATGCACGGTGACGAGCGAGGGCAA